ATAACAATATATTAGACTAATATTAACATATTTTAGTATAATAACATATCATTTACATTTTTCACACATATGACCTTCATTCTATTGACAATATATTTATTGATATACATTTGGATAGTCATTTTTCTTCTGAATCTAATTTAGTTAATATAGATTCAAGTTACTATATTTCTGTCAAAAATGGATTTGTTAATGTTGATTCAAGTTATTATATTTCTGTAGAGGCCGAATTTGTTGGTGCAGCTTCAGATTGGTATCTTTCTATTAATAATAAGATCAAAGCTAAATTTATTAATATAGATTTAAGTAATTATAATTCTATTGATGCTAAATTTATTGGTACAGATTTAGTATTAGATTACTATTCTTCTGTTAATGTTGAATCAATTTTATCGATACTAAATCTATTAGTACAGATTTAGCATAGATTACTATTTCTCTGTTAATATTGAATCTGTTGATACAAATTTGGAATTAAAGTTAAAGATCAGGTATACTTTTACAAACTGATTACAATTTAAATACTGGTTAGATAATTTTGCAAAAAGAAAAGAATTTGCTTATAAGGTTAAAACAAATCAGATAAATGGCATAATATTGCAATGTGTCACTTATGAATATTTAAAATTAGAAATATACAACTACAGGTAACTTTCAACTTCACCAAATGATGAAATACATCATCATAGCAAATATAGTGCATCTGGAGATTTAATATTGCTTGTTTCAAATCAATTATTGTTGTTAAGATAAATTTATTTAAGGATATCCATAATCATGACCTTATTCTAACTATAGATGAAACAGCTCCATGATTCAGAAAATTAATATCAAAAATATTGCTTGATATTGAAAAATATGTTATACAAGAGAAAATAGATTCTGGATTCATTTATCTATTATTAAAGTATAATTATCCTGATCATCTAGTTGTTAAAAAAGATCTATATAATATAGTATAGCAGTTCTGTCTTAAAAACAACCCAGGTGATTTAAATGCATCTTGAATGCTACTAAATTAGAAAGAATCAGATCCTTTATAGCTAGTCAAGCTATACTTAGAACTTTTGTCTAGAAAATTAAATCAGTTATTATAGATATTATCAACACAAAGATCTTTTTATAAAAAATTTTATGATGTAGTAATATAGATACTATATCAAATATCAATCGCTTTCAAATGATATTATGTGTTATTATAGTTATTAATAACCATTTCAAATTAAAGATTATTGCTTCTGCAATTATAGATAATAAACCTCTTGAAACTTTTCAATAGATTCTTATCACAATATTTGAAGAAATATATATTAATCCAGATGTTATATTTACTAATTTTGATCTATCCTTAATTAGTACAATTAAAAAAATATATCTGGATATGAATTATTTATTATATATTTTTCATATTGATATAAATCTTTGCAAAAAACTAAAAAGCAAATTGAAATCTCAATTTGAAGAATTTTAGTATAAAATTTATATCTGTAGAAATTCTTTATGCTATGAATTATTTGAAGCTTGTTAATTTGATTTAATCAATCAATATCTTATATTGGCTAAGTATATATCAGAAACACTATATAAATAAAGAATCTTGAGATTTATCTTAGGTACATAATTAGTTCACAGCTGGCATTTAAAGCACACAAAGAATAGAATCATTCAATAAGCAAATATATGATAAAGCTGATCAGGCTACCTCTTTATATGACTTGTTAATTAATATTAATAATTATATCAAAAATAAGAAAAAATTTAAAAAATTTAAAATTGAACATAGTATATTATCAGCAATTGGATTATCATTATTAAATATTAGATTCTTTAGAGAAGTAGACAATATAATCAAAGAATTTTTAACTTTTATAATGTTAGAAAAGCAGCAATTACAAATGAATCAGTTAGTATATTATGATATTAACTATATTATAGATTGGCTACAAGTAATAGATATATTTTTTTTCTTTACACTTTGTATAAATATTGATATTAATATAGTATAATTTACTATCTTTAGATTGAGAATGATAATAAAGAGATTAATATCAGAATTCGAGAATAGAATTAAAAAGTTTAGCAAGTTCTCATTAAATTATTAATAAAAAATATAGCTCAGAAAACTGTCTTGAAATTATAAAATATTTGTGCTACTAGAATATTAGATATTAAACATTACATAATACTTCTAAATGATAGTACACACTTGTATACTTGTCTTTTATTATTAAACAAAGGCTTAATATATAGATATTTTTTTTGTATAGCAACTTACTCCTAATTAGCTACCTTTTATATAAACCTTATTCTATCTCGTTGATATTTAAATCTTAATATAGATCAAAACTAGCTCTTACAACAAATGCTTGCTATTATAGTATATGATATATTAAAACCAGAATATATCCTTGTCAATAATATTATATTTGAGCATTTATATTTTATTTGATCTACTTTAAGTAATTCTTGTTCTATAGCAAAAACAAACAAAACTATATATGCAGAATTGTTTAGATTGTTAAAAAAGACTATTGATGTAGCTATCAAGACAAATATATTACAAAAGCTATTGGATACTCTTAAGTCATTTATATATGATGCACAAAAAAAGAATGACAAAAATAATAAAAATAATATTATTATTAAAAATCTTAATATTACTAAGCATAAAGGATAGTTACCAAAAAGGCTAAAATCTAGTATTAAGAATACAGTTTTTAAAGGCAAACAAGTATTAAAAGATTATATACACATTAATATAAATAATAACTACAGAAATATAAATAATATAGATAATAATAGTAGAAACAATATAATAAATACTAAAGGTCATATGTGTGAAAAATGTAAATGATATGTTATTATACTAAAATATGTTAATATTAGTCTAATATATTGTTAT